AGCCTGAGACTACTTCTGTACCTCAAAATGGAGGGTTTAGGGTGTATTAGAGTATATTATTTTACCGGTATTGGAGCAAACCGACCAAAGAACACTTTTCATTGCTACTTAATAAAACTCGGGCAGGGAGAAAGAGGGGCGAAGGGGGGAAGGGCTGTCTTTTGAGGGGGTTCTTGTGTGTGTTTGTTTTGTTGGGTTTTTTTCAGTAACACCGTAACATAGGTTGTGCATCCGACACAAGTTGCCCCACCATCTTGAGAGAAGTGCAGCCAGTTCATGTATTCCAACACGCCACTTGCTGATATTTATCTGCCTCAGAAAGCTTAACGTTTGAAGGGATGAAAAAAAAATTGTGCAAGTGGAAGGAAAGCAGATGTCTGGAGATAAAACCATCATGGCTGACTCAGACTTGCCACATGGCAAAGCTGGGAAAAGAGCTCACCAATATCTACTTGGTTTCAGAGAAGTATTACAAGACCTCCTGCTTGCTGCAATCACCATTTCAGACTGCCCTTGCCCACACTGGGAAGATGAGGTCTGAAATACCAGTGTACAGAATGAAGAGCAGGGCAGCAGAGTTGGGGTCCTCCTCGTCCATCCCAACCACTGCAACTTCTGCTGCAAGTCCCAGATTGCCCCTACAGGGCAATTCTTCACTATTTCAAGGTGAGCCTTCACAGCAGCAATTTCCTAAGGAGGATCACAACCACCTCAGTGGCACAAACACCTTATCGGTGTCACGGGAAATATTACAGCATCAGCACAGCCCACAGATGATTCATCAGGAATCAGCGCAGATCACTGTGAACTTCAGGACTTCATCAAGTATGGGAAAACATCTAACGAGCCGGCCACTGAGAGTTTAACAAGTCTCCTGTCTTGCTTAGGCCTGAACTGAGCCCAAAACCAGTTTGATTTTGTGTTACTGCCTTTATGCACATAAAGAAGAAACCTAATGGAGGTAAAGTAAGACTAATATAATATATTACACTAGATTAAGGGCATAACGACCACTAAGATCTATGCTGACCTAACATGTTGTTTGTTAATTATACGCCCTAATGATTTCCCTTATGTTTTCTCTGCAAGAGGTATGGTGTACCCCTGCTTTTCGTACTTATTTCCAATTCTGTCTGTAGTTTGCATCGACACTACCCTTTTCATAGTAAGGAGAATGAACAGTGTACCCTGTAGCTACCTTCCAAGGAGAGATCTTCCACTATTCTCCTCAGGCAGACTCCTACAGCAGAACTTTTGAAAACTATTTGCTGGTAGAAATTTTAAACAAGGCTCTCTCTCCCCATCCACTTCCAGATTCAATAGATTAGTTTCACAACCAGGATTGCAGCTGTATTTTTGTACCCAGAACTCCTACAGAGTC